CAATGTCACTGCTGTCAGTTCCTTATTATACTAATGTCATTGCTGTCAGTCACTCGTAATGCCGGTGTCACTCTGTCAATCACTCGTAAGATATCTGACGCACTATCATCAAAATAAATGATGAGTTGGGATGAAACAGTGATGATACAAGCACTTGGGAGCTCTGACCCGGTTCTACACTTCATCAGTCATTACCCATCACTATCGTACCTTTTCGGGTTGTTACTTAGAAAGTAAGAATAGTGATAGAGGAAGGACCGAAACATCGTCACACTTTACGGGCTCTCCATAGCCCGTGCTACTTGGAAATTTTTGTTCCAAGTAGCGAATCTTTAACAACAACAAATCGTCACGCTTTATATTTCCAGATGTGTGGGTTGGGTGACTGATAAGAATATTGGTAGTTGCAGAAGACCAAATGGTCCACACCAGGCAGCTCCAATTGATATTCAGTTAAATTCGTTTGTATGAACGTCTAACTTACGATTGAAACACTCCAGCGATATGTTCATATTTGCAACATTTTTGTTCTCCTTGTCAGTAAGTGTTACTGTGTAATTGTTTATGCTTATAAAAAAGTTGAGAAAATAAGTGTTATTCTTCTCAAACCTTGAATTTGTGACGAGGACAGTGATGTTTTGAAATTTACCTGTTTATATTGAGACAATGGGTGAATTGTGATTCACAATTAACGTGTATTTATACTATGGCTATACAAAACACACACACACACACACACACACACACACACACACACACACACACACACACAAAATATAGAAATGAGTAGTTTTTCGGGATTTAACATCATACTGTAAATCATGTTCATGGATCACGCACCAACTGTAGTTCCCACCGTGTTCTCATTATAGTGGCATTGTAAGTGCAGGGTATCCTGCTGGAAGCGCTCGCCTTGCTCTATCGAGTGAGCTCCCATGTTCTCCTTCAATTTATCAAGATAAGCATCAAGGATATGGACTTTGAGGGACATCCTGCAGCCACTGTGCTGTAGTTCACCTGAGCCTCAACCACCTCCATACAGTGTTGGGCCTTGTGATACCCCAAGTAGCCTCAAACCACTGCGACAATGATGCTCTAAGCAACTTTCTCCCTTCTAGTGAGCTTCTTGGAGACTTCCTAGCACTCTAAGATCTTCTTTATTCTCGGTCTAAGACACCGGCTTTGACCCTTGCTTCAGACAGCTTAAGAAAGATCTTGATGATAACTGAAGACTTGTTATCTAGATCTGTGACAATTGTTTCACAAGGACCAATCTGATGTGTAGTGGTGGCATCAGCATCTTCCGAAGGTCCACCAGTGGCTCTCACTCGATGTTGTTCCTACCAACAGAGAATTCAGGCCACTGTGGCCATTCCCGCCTGAAGTAGTGCATCTTGGTGTCCCTGTTATCTCGGAGGCAAAGATAGCAGGAAAACTTGCTCATACTGCCCTAGAGATCAATCAGGTATGCCATCATTCTGAAGTCTCCGATGACCTTCCAGTAGTACTCATTATATCTCAAGGCGTCCAGCAAACATTTTAATGTTGTAATCCTCTCTGAGGATTACAACTGCCATCACTCCACCGCCACACCCCCACCACAGCCTCACTTACACCACCGCAACCCCCCACAACTGGCAACCCCCACACCACAACAACCCCCCACAACTGGCAACCCCCATACCACAACAACCACTCCACCCCCATCACCTGTACCTCCAACAATGCCACCCATACCACCTCCAACACTGCATTCATGTCCATTCTGCATTATGGTGGCCAAAACTGCATTGCATAATCTAAATGAGGTCTAACAAGGGCAAGTGAAGCGGAAGTATAACATTAGGCTTTGATTTCGTTTGTATTTGAGTTTAAGACCTTGGAACCTCTGGAGAGGCATTAAGGCCACCACAATAACTCACTGACCAACCAGCCGGTATAATTTAGTCCTGCACATAGTTCAGGACTACAGTAAGGTCTGTGTGTATCTACACCAAGAAGCAGGTTATACCTCTCGGTGTATATACGTCTCTTGTATTCAGATGTCTTATTGCTTGGGCTTCACGATGTGAATCCCAGTAGCTTATTCTCCTTTATCACATCATATATTTATATAATGAATTTCTTTAGCTTATGGTTCTTAATAATCACGAGTCTAAAATAGCTTACCGCAAGACATTAAAACGTGGACGACATTACGAAAAGGCGCCTCGCCACAGTCACTTGACTGGGACAACGAGAACCAACACTGTTCAGACCCCGTGAGAGTCATGAACGGAACTTACTGACTCCCAACGACCTGAAAGTACTAGTATAAAAAGCTATGATTTGTTCAGATCTGAAACCTACATCTATGGACAGCACAAAACGTCCACTAGACTGTGCGACACAGTGGTTGCAAGGATCAGGTTGGGTTATCGTTACCTGTGGCAGGTGGCTGCAGGTGACGGGTCTCCCAATCCTGAGCACTCCAGTTGCAAACTCTGTGAGCAGGAACTACGGCATGATCTCCCGCACTACATCACTGAATGCCCAGTTATTAGACCTTTCAGACCAGTTGGCATGAGGTACCTGGAGCTTTGCAATTACTTTATTCACTCTCGTATTCTTGAAGATATCCTCACAGTATACCCAAAATTTGCCAGTGCAGGCTATTAAACACATGGCCCTGTATGACTAACCATCCTGCGAGATGGGGACTTGTATTACCACTGCTACCTTATTCAATCTTGTGTTGTTGATATCCTCAAAATGCATCCGGAGTCTGCCAGTGCAGACCGCCTATCACATGTCTCTGTATGACTAACCATCCTGTGTGATGGGGATTTTATAGCATCACCTAGTTAGCTTTTTTTGACACACTGTACTCCACTTCATATAGTCTAGGGTAGCTGCACTAATGCAGATGTACCTCATAACTTAATAAAAAAAAAAAAAAAAAAAAAAGAGGTTCACCATGATGCCCGGGAAGAGTGGTAGGCTGGTAGGTAGTGTGGGATTACCCGCGTGCCTCTACTCCAGCCTATACTGATCTCCCATACAGAGGAACAGCCAGGCAGAGCTGCCGCTACTCTCACCGTGACTCAGAAAACCCAGGAAGCACTGAGACCCTTGGCTCACGGGGTATAAGTGCACTCAAACTCCTGAGTGACTTAAGGGCAAACTCTTTATGGAAACCAAAGAATAAGGATCGACAAGTTTTGTGTTCCGGCACCTCGACACTGCGGCTCAGCGAGGACATGCTTACTGCATGCCAGGTATCCATGTCCCACACCTGAAAAACAGGAGGACATCTACAATTTATAGTCTGTTTCATGTATATGATAAGCCATGTAATATGTTACATAGTGTAATAAGTTTTTTTTATATAAGAGGATACTTATACAAATACTAAGACCAACGACAAGATTTTCTCCGAATGCTCTTTATCTGCTTCACAGAGGCTGTCGCTCCCAATTTTCGGATAGAAGGGAGAGATGGGGGAGGAGGGGATGCTGAGGGGAAAGGGGGGGGGGCAATGGGATGGGGACAAGGAGAGAGAGTGGGGAAGAGACCCGGGTGCAGCCGGGTACCCCTACTAATTGAATAACTATAAACTGGAGGGATAGGTTGGGGGGAAATAGGGGAGATGAAAGGAGAGAAGAGGAGAAGGGAGGAGGACAGGAAAGGGTGGTGAAGAGGAGAATGCGAGGAAAGAGGAAAGAAGAGGGATGGAATAGGGGGTCGGGGAGGGGAGAAAACTCTCCTGGGCAGTGCCAGATACCCCTCCGTGTATATATATATATATATATATATAGCAGAGTATGTCTGTCTTACGGGCTATTCATGCCCGTGCCACCTTTTCGATGGTTCAGTCCTCATCAATCAATCAATCTGTCTCACGGGCCGAGGTCCCAGAGACACTTCAAGATGTTAGACGACCAAAGATCACATTCACTCCAAACATCAACCACTTACGGGCTACTCATGCCCGTGCCACCTCTAGTGGTGGCTTAACATTCATCAATCAATCAATCAATCAATCTGTCGCAAAGATGGAGGCCAGAGCTCTTCGTCCCCCCTCCCCCCCGCCCCCAAAAAGCACTACTGTCCCTCTAACTATGCAGGTCAACAACCAGAAGACTGAAAGGTGAGGGTCAGCCCCAACACCTCGGAGTGGACATCAACGGTGACACTGTCAACGATCATCTCCTTCTTTAAAAATAAAAGAAAGCCTTAAACCACTGACAACACTGGCGAAGAATGTTGTATCAATGTTAAATATGCCAGGTTATTCAACATGATGTTTGCTACATGTGTAGTTGATTACCGTGACTTGAACCTCATTAACTTCCCGCCGACGGAGGGGCAGGGGAGAGGGGGGGGGAGGGGGGGATAGTGGGGGGAGAGGGGGGGGAAGAAGGGGGGAGAGGACCCCCTCCAACGTCAGACACAAGTGTGCCGCTTCCGAGACATTACACAACACTTATGTTTCTCAGCTATGTTTCCCACCCCCCCAGCCATCCCCCCCAGCTATCCCCCCCCCCGCCAGCCATCCCCCCCAGCTATCCCCCCCACCAGCCATCCCCCCCCCGCCAGCCACCCCCCCCCCCCCCACCAGCCATCCCCCCCCCCGCCAGCCATCCCCCCCTCCCACCAGCCATCCCTCCCCCCCCCGCCAGCCATCCCCCCCCCTCCCTCAGTGTGTGGGGGGACTGCTATGCTCCTCATCTCCTCCAGGTGCAGTGTGTTCCGTTCCCCCGCTGGTTCAGTGCTTAATTATGCCCATCATCACCAATTATCACTATCATCAGCAGTTACCTTCATCTTCACCATCAATAAGCTCCTCATCTGCATCTTTTCTATTAGCGTCGACGTCATCATCTCCATAATCTCTATTAAGGTAATCATCATTGTCATTATTACCGGCGGTAATTATATTCATAACTTTGTGTCTTCACTTGCCAGTCCTGATGATTAGTCTAGTTTTTATATTGAGAGTTTGTTGAGTTCCTGACAGGATGGGTAAGGCAGCGAGGCGCGCGGCACCCACAAGGGTTGCCATCATCATTTAGACTATGGTAGACATATGGCTACATATAGGATGGCAGACATATGGCTACATATAGGATGGCAGACATATGGCTACATATATGATGGCAGACATATGGCTACATATAGGATGGCAGACATATGGCTACATATAGGATGGCAGACATATGGCTACATATAGGATGGCAGACATATGGCTACATATAGGATGGCAGACATATGGCTACATATAGGATGGCAGACATATGGCTACATATATGATGGCAGACATATGATGGCAAACATATGACCGCATATATGATGGCAGACATATGGCTACATATATGATGGCAGACATATGGCTATATATATGATGGCAGACATATGGCTACATATATGATGGCAGACATATGGCTATATATATGATGGCAGACATATGGCTACATATATGATGGCAGACATATGGCTACATATATGATGGCAGATATATGGCTATATATATGATGGCAGACATATGGCTACATATATGATGGCAGACATATGATGGCAGATATATGGCTATATATATGATGGCAGACATATGGCTACATATATGATGGCAGACATATGATGGCAGATATATGGCTACATATAGGATGGCAGACATATGGCTACATATAGGATGGCAGACATATGGCTACATATATGATGGCAGACATATGATGGCAAACATATGACCGCATATATGATGGCAGACATATGGCTACATATATGATGGCAGACATATGGCTATATATATGATGGCAGACATATGGCTACATATATGATGGCAGACATATGGCTATATATATGATGGCAGACATATGGCTACATATATGATGGCAGACATATGGCTACATATATGATGGCAGATATATGGCTATATATATGATGGCAGACATATGGCTACATATATGATGGCAGACATATGATGGCAGATATATGGCTACATATATGATGGCAAACATATGGCTATCTTGAGGTTATCTTGAGATGATTTCGGGGCTTTAGTGTCCCCGCGGCCCGGTCCTCGACCAGGCCTCCACCCCCAGGAAGCAGCCCGTGACAGCTGACTAACACCCAGGTACCTATTTTACTGCTAGGTAACAGGGGCATAGGGTGAAAGAAACTCTGCCCATTGAAACTCTGCCGGCACCTGGGATCGAACCCAGGACTACAGGATCACAAGTGCCGCGTGCTGTCCGCTCGGCCGACCGGCTCCCTTCTGGCTACTTATATGATGGCAGACATATGGCTACATATATGATGGCAGACATATGACCACATATATGATGGCAGACATATGGCTACATATATGATGGCAGACATATGGCTACATATATGATGGCAGACATATGACCACATATATGATGGCAGACATATGGCTACATATATGATGGCAGACATATGGCTACATATATGATGGCAGACATATGGCTACATATATGATGGCAGACATATGACCACATATATGATGGCAGACATATGGCTACATATATGATGGCAGACATATGGCTACATATATGATGGCAGACATATGACCACATATATGATGGCAGACATATGGCTACATATATGATGGCAGACATATGGCTACATATATGATGGCAGACATATGACCACATATATGATGGCAGACATATGGCTACATATATGATGGCAGACATATGGCTACATATATGATGGCAGACATATGGCTACATATATGATGGCAGACATATGGCTACATATATGATGGCAGACATGGCTACATATATGATGGCAGACATATGACCACATATATGATGGCAGACATATGACCACATATATGATGGCAGACATATGGGTATATATATGATGGCAGACATATGACCACATATATGATGGCAAACATATGGCTACATATATGATGGCAGACATATGACCACATATATGATGGCAGACATATGGCTACATATATGATGACAGACAAATGATGGCAGACATTTGACCACCCAAATGACATCAGACCTATGGTAACATAGCAGGTGGCAGACATATGGTCACATAGATGACGACAGCCTTAATAGCCATATCAGACGATACTATCAACACAGCCACGCGGGCGATACATTTGCCTCTCTCATCCGCCTATCATTTTCACATCACTCTCCATTACAGTGATTATCTCTGTAATTCTTCAGGCAAGAAGGCCAGCAGTCAGTTGGCGTGGCAGCGTCGAGCGCTCAGCTTGCGGGCGGCGGAGCTGACAGCCCAATCAAGAGAGGCCCTGATCAATCAGCAGGCCAGCAGCGCACACTTACGGCTGGCGCTGATGTGTGTGTGCGTGTGTGTGCGCTCACACAGCGGACAGTACACGACCGGATGTTTCCTCCACGGTGCGACGAGACGAAAGAGACGAACCCACGCGTTTGGGGGTGTTGGGGGTGTGGGGGGGGGGGTGTAGGGGGGTTTGGGGGGGTGTTAGGGGATCCTTGTATTGCGGGTAGTAACAGTCTGTTAGGACCATGGTCGTGCGGGCTCTTCAGGGGAAACAGCCTCAATAATATAACTAATGTTGGTCTATGATATGAATATAATCGAGACAGTTGTTTATTTATCTTTTAACAACAGAAACATTAACTTCTAACATTAAAACATCAAAAGGTTTGAAGCAGAGGTCGCTTCACGCTGCCTCACACTCTAGGCGGCATCACTCACACCTCACGCTTCCTCACTCACACATCAGGCTTCCTCACTCACACCTTAGGCTTCCTCACTCACACCTCAGGCTTCCTCACTCACACCTCAGGCTTCCTCACTCACACCTCAGGCTTCCTCACTCACACCTCAGGCTTCCTCACTCACACATCAGGCTTCCTCACTCACACCTCAGGCTTCCTCACTCACACCTCAGGCTTCCTCACTCACACCTCAGGAGTCACATCTCAATGTACAACAATAATCACAGTCTCTCTTGTATTTATGTATAGAGAAGAGAGAGAGAGAGTGAGAATGAGAGAGAGAAAGAGAGAGTGAGAGAGAAAGAGTGAGAGAGAGAGAGAGTGAGAATGAGAGAGAGAAAGAGTGAGAGAGAGAGAGAGTGAGAATGAGAGAGAGAAAGAGAGAGTGAGAGAGAAAGAGTGAGAGAGAGAGAGTGTGAGTATGAGAGAGTGAGAAAGAAAGAGTGAGAGAGTGTGAGAATGAGAGAGAGAGTGAGAGAGAGAGAGAGAGAGAGAGAGAGAGAGAGAGAGAGAGAGAGAGAGAGAGAGAGAGAGAGAGAGAGAGAGAGAGAGAGAGTGTGAGTATGAGAGAGTGAGAAAGAAAGATTGAGAGAGAGAGTGAGAGAGAGAGTGAGAGAGAAAGAGTGAGAGAGAGAGAGAGTGAGAGAGAGAGAGAGAGAGAGGAGAGAGAGAGAGAGAGAGAGAGAGAGAGAGAGGAGAGAGAGAGAGAGAGAGAGAGAGAGAGAGAGAGAGAGAGAGAGAGAGAGAGAGAGAGAGAGAGGGAGAGAGAGAGAGAGAGAGGGAGAGAGAGAGAGAGAGAGAGAGAGAGAGAGAGAGAGAGAGAGAGAGAGAGAGAGGAGACATTCCAAGAGACAAAGGTAGTATTACTCCTCCACCTCAGGTGTAGGAGTCTGCCGCTGGTGAGAGCGGGTAACATGGACTAACACCAACTTAATATTAACGTGCGCATTGTAACCTGTTACAGAGGAGTCAAGACATAAAATGTGATGCGCAGCGTAGGCAGGAAGTCCTAAATCTTAATGATAAGCTGGAAGACAGGGCGCAGTCTTCAGCGCGCACACCGGCGCACTCCAGCATGCTGTGTGCTCTCTCTCCATCAGTATGCGCTTAGTGCGTATTTCACCACGCACTCAACTGCAGATATGTCCCCCCCCACCCCATGCTCTCTAACTAGCACTCTGACGAGTGTTTCACGACATTGTTAGCGCACAAAGAGCGCTAGTACAGTGAGTACGTGAGTACAGTGAGTACGTGAGTACAGTACAGTACGTGAGTACAGAGTGAGTACAAGCACTCGTCCGGTCCCTTGTGCACGCACTGAACTGGTCGTTCCTGCAAGCACTCGTCAAACCACTCCAAGAAGCACTCGTCCGCTCACTCATCATCAACCACTTGGGCTGGACGGTAGAGCGACGGTCTCGCGTCATGCAGGTGGGCGTTCAATCCCCGACCGTCCAAGTGGTTGGGCATCATTCCTTTCCGCGTCCCATCCCAAATCCTTATCCTGACCCCTCCCCAGTGCTATATAGTCGTAATGGCTTGGTGCTTTCTTGTGATAATTCCCTCCCTCTCTCCCAGAAGGGACAGACACCTTACCCTCAATATTTGCTGATAACGCAAAAATGTTGAAGAGGATTCACATTGGGGAGAGAGTAAGGAACTAGAGGACAACATTGACAAACTGAGAGGAAGGCGCGTTATGCCCCCAGGTTACCTTGAGGTTACCTTGAGGTGCTTCCGGGGCTTAGCGTCCCCGCGGCCCGGTCGTCGACCAGGCCTCCTGGTTGCCGGACTGATCAACCAGGCTGTTGGACGCGGCTGCTCGCAGCCTGACGTACGAGTCACAGCCTGGTTGATCAGGTATCCTTTGGAGGTGCTTATCCAGTTCTCTCTTGAACACTGTGAAGGGTCGGCCAGTTATGCCCCAGGGTGACCAACTCCCACTAGATACTCTCGGCCCATATCTATGTGTAGTCAATAACCAGTAATACAATTCTCTATAACGTTACACTGCTGCAGTTGTCTATATTAAAGGCTATGTTTGAGATTTTAGATTTTTATGTACATATGTGTTATGTTTATATGTCACATTATATTGTGTTGAGTGGGTGTTGGATGGCCAGCCCCCGTGTGTGTGTGTGTAAGACTTTACACACACACACACACACACACACACACACACACACACACACACACACACACACACACACACACACACACACACACACACACACACACACACACACACACACACTCTGGTTATGTGAGTGTAACGTCACCACCAACCTTGTTCACAACCTTACCTGCCAGTCACATAATGCCTTGTGGACCCATGTTGTTACGGTAAGTTTGCTTAGTAACATCTAGCGGCTGTGACTTGTGCCGTGTGATAACTTGATTCACTGATGATTAGTTTGTTGTGTAAATATTGTCTATACGCAGTGTCATGTGTATTAATTTAACCCCAGTAAACTGGTGGCTTTTCTTAGACCTTCTCTCAACCCTAGACTTTATTAATTGACTTAATTAAGGCCAGGATTTTCCCTGATTAAATGAGGGGAAGTTCTACACCACGGGTCTTACTAGAGGGGTCATGACGTAACAAGGTCCAGAGAAGGGCTGGCTAAGTTGGCAGGAATGTATAATAAAGCCTGGTCCTGGCAACAGGAAGCCGGGTCCTGGCAACAGGAAGCCGGGTGCTGGCAACAGGAAGCCTGGTCCTGGCAACAGGAAGCCGGGTGCTGTCAACAGGAAGCCTGGTCCTGGCAACAGGAAGCCGGGTCCTGGCAACAGGAAGCCGGGTCCTGGCAACAGGAAGCCGGGTCCTGACAACAGGAAGCCTGGTCCTGACAACAGGAAGCCTGGTCCTGGCAACAGGAAGCCGGGTCCTGGCAACAGGAAGCCTGGTCCTGGCAACAGGAAGCCGGGTCCTGGCAACAGGAAGCCTGGTCCTGACAACAGGAAGCCTGGTCCTGGCAACAGGAAGCCGGGTCCTGGCAACAGGAAGCCGGGTCCTGGCAACAGGAAGCCGGGTGCTGGCAACAGGAAGCCGGGTGCTGGCAACAGGAAGCCTGGTCCTGGCAACAGGAAGCCGGGTGCTGTCAACAATAAGCCTGGTCCTGGCAACAGGAAGCCGGGTCCTGACAACAGGAAGCCTGGTCCTGGCAACAGGAAGCCGGGTCCTGGCAACAGGAAGCCGTGTCCTGGCAACAGGAAGCCTGGTCCTGACAACAGGAAGCCTGGTCCTGGCAACAGGAAGCCGGGTCCTGGCAACAGGAAGCCGGGTGCTGGCAACAGAAAGCCTGGTCCTGGCAACAGGAAGCCGGGTGCTGTCAACAATAAGCCTGGTCCTGGCAACAGGAAGCCGGGTCCTGGCAACAGGAAGCCGAATACTGGTAACATGAAACCAGATCAACAGCGCCACATAAGAAAGGAAACCTTCCCGAAGTACAAGAGAAGAAGCTGGTGATGGGTGCCCTGCTGAGCGTGCCTTCCCCCTCCCATACCCTCAACTGTATAGGCATGGTTGGCCTACATAACAACAACCTATGGAAACCTAAATGCGGCGTCCTTTAGCAGCCTGTGTACCACGCATGTCAGACCAGTGTTGGAATATCGAGAGTAATTGTTACACAAGAAACCAAGCTAGTAGAAATCCTGAGGTATGGTACCAGGCTAGCACAGGAACTGAGATGAATTATGCTGAAAGTTTAGAGGTATTGAACCTTACGTGTTTGGAAGACCCAAGAGTTTGGGGAGACATGATTACGACATATACAATTCCTAACAAATGAAATGCACTACAAGAGAAGTGGTGAAGGCAGCTCCAGGTGTGTGATGGTAGACCACACAGCTCCAGGTGTGTGATGGTAGACCACACAGCTCCAGGTGTGTCTTGGTAGAGCACACAGCTCCAGGTGTGTGATGGTAGACCACACAGCTCCAGGTGTGTGATGGTAGACCACACAGCTCCAGGTGTGTCATGGTAGAGCACACAGCTCCAGGTGTGTGATGGTAGACCACACAGCTCCAGGTGTGTGATGGTAGACCACACAGCTCCAGGTGTGTGATGGTAGACCACACAGCTCCAGGTGTGTGATGGTAGACCACACAGCTCCAGGTGTGTGATGGTAGACCACACAGCTCCAGGTGTGTGATGGTAGACCACACAGCTCCAGGTGTGTCATGATAGACCACACAGCTTCAGGTGTGCCACGGTAGACCTCACAACAATATATCTCATGGCCATAACTCTGACCTTCACTATAATGTCACAGGTCATTGTAAACAATCATGAACACCTTCCAGGTATAAAACAGCCTCATTACGTTACAAGATGAATATGCTACTAGCTGATGGCGGGCTGGTACTTTCCAGTACGACATTCTATTCATCCCAAGTACTTCCTCAGTTCCACCTTTAGCCTCCACTATCTGAATCCTCTGAGACAGATGAGGTCAACTGGGGGGTGCAATGACCACTCTGCTTTATCAAGCTCTGTAGAAACTACACGACCTTTTAATAGTCAAAAATTATACATTCCTGAAGTCCTTTATTCATATAGATAAACTATTGCAGACACAGTGCGATACAGGAGACTCCCGAAGTTACAGAATATGCTTAGATTTCGTATCTGATATCTGGCATTTATTGTATGTTCATCCTTCGTGACGCCTGGACCTGTTCTGCTTTGATCTATATGTGAGGTGTCACCACCACACAACACCCTATATATCAAAATGGCCTCACTCATACACCCTCACCACCATGTAGATCTACACCCACACCCTCACTACCACAGCACCACCCTCACCACCACAGCACCACCCTCACCACCACAGCACCACCCTCACCACCACCACCACCACCACCACCACCACCACCACCACCACCACAGCACCACCCTCACCACCACAGCACCACCACCACCACCACCACAGCACCACCACCACCCTCACCACCACCACCACGTAGTTCCCACAGCCACCACCACCAGGGGTGGCAATAATGGCTCCACCGGAACTTGGAGTTGAGGATGCTGAGCACCTGTGTGCCAGGGGGGGGGGGGGCGGCGGACAGGTGTGGCGGGAGGTAAGGCCAGGTAATTATCACGTGAGAGCTGATCCTCTGTGACTGTGTTGTGATACCCGGGGTCCTGTGGCGGTGTCTCAAGTAGAGAGGGCTTTCAAGTAGGAGTGTTCAGTTGAGGGAGTGTTCGGTTGAGGGAGTGTTCGGTTGAGGGAGTGTTCGGTTGAGGGAGTGTTCGGTTGAGGGAGTGTTCGGTTGAGGGAGTGTTCGGTTGAGGGAGTGTTCGGTTGAGGGAGTGTTCGGTTGAGGGGGTTCGCTGTAGTAGGGGGTGTCAGTAAGAGGGGCACACACATGCTGCTTCTGGTCGGAAGCGACTGGGGGGGGGGGAAGGCTATACGTAGGACAAGAATGAAATATTTGAAGTGATAACGAAAGGTTAATTAAGTGAAGGAAGCGCAACACTTGTGGCCGTGAGAGCGTCAATACCCAGGTGGGAGAGTGAGGGAGAGTGAGGGGTCACGCCCTGCCACGGACACTCACACACACACATACATACACACACACAAACACATTATGTATACTCATATGCACGTCTTCACAACTCAAAATTCCTGAATATACATATTTGTACGTATACATGTATACTATCCAGGGACAGAATGCACAAGTAAACCAAATTAACGGAATGTGTCTTGGATGAGATTTGTAGTTTTCTGCCATAAAGAGAAGGCGGCGTCATCGGCACAAACCATGTGGACACTGAGGGCAACTGTACAACGTAACAGTTGGGCTTCATAAATGTTGGCCAGACCACACACTAGAAAGTGAAGGGACGACGACGTTTCGGTCCGTCCTGGACCATTCTCAAGTCGATTATGAGAATGCTCAAATGGAGTTTATGCATTCTCAAGCCCCATGTTTGAGAATGGGGGTTTCATAAAGTCCAATATAGATTATTTTAACAATTGAGACATAAAGGATTATCAATTGTCTTCAAAATTTTTTGGTGATATAATTCTCTGTTGAAAAGGAAATTAACGTGAATAAAATAAGCATTTTAATCAAGTCTTAGTAAGCCATCTACTGAGACTTTTGCAAATAAAGACGTTATATTAAAGCTAATCATTTTTAAAATAGAAAAGTTGCTTATTACTTTAAACTTATAAATAATTATACTTAAAAGGTTACTTTTTACTTGTAAAACATATTATTAATATAGTTAATATTTTAATTGCAGTCTTTGAAGGGTTTTGAGTTTGACGCGCTCTCTTCCTCACGCACACTCACTCACTCACACACACACACACACATACACACACACACACACACACACACATGAGCCACATGAGCCACAGAGACGTTAGAAGGAACTTTTTTAGTGTCAGAGTAGTTAACGGATGGAATGCATTAGGCAGTGATGTGGTGGAGGCTGACTCCATACACAGTTTTAAATGTAGATATGATAGAGCCCAGTAGGCTCAGGAATCTGTACACCAGTTGATTGACAGTTGAGAGGCGGGACCAAAGAGCCAAAGCTCAACCCCCGCAAGCACAAATAGGTGAGTACAAATAGGTGAGTACACACACACACACACACACACACACACACACACACACACAGGCGGGAGCAAGCGGAAAAGCCCTAGCATGGGTAAGGAATTACTTAAGAGGCAGGAGCCAGAGAGTAACAGTCAGGGGCTGGTAGTCGGAACAGTAACAATTGGAGTACCTCAAGGATCGCTGGTGGGACCAGTTCTATTTATATTATACGTAAACGGCATGTCTACAGGAGTCGAGTCCTATATGTCGATGTTCGCGGATGACGCGAAATTAATGAGACGAGTTGTGATAGATGAGGATTGTAGGCTACTCCAAGAGGACTTAAACAAGCTGCAGAGAGGGTAAGAGAAATGGCTACTGGAGTTCAACACAAGCAAGTGTAAAGTTATGGGACTAGGTGACAGGAGACCAAAGAGCCAGTACATAATGAAGAGAAACGATCTTACGGTGACGATTTGAGAAAAAGACCTGGGAGTGGATGTAACACCAAATCTAACTCCTGGGACACATAGAGATCGGATAACGACAGCAGCGTACTCTACGCCAGTAAAAGTTAGAATGTCATTCAGAAACCTAAGTAAGGAGGCATTCAGAGCGCTTTACACTGCCTACGTGAGACCAATCTTAGAGTATGCAGCCTCATCATGGAACCCCCACCTTAAAAAACTCATAAGGAAAATGTAAAAGATTAAATAATTTGCGACGAGGCTCATCCCGAGTTGAATGGGATGGGGGTATGAAAAGCGACTGAAGGAACTGAACCTGACGACGTTAGAAAAAAAAGGTGGGAGCGGGGAGATATGATAGCAGCATACAAAATACTTAGGGGGCTTGACAAAGTGGAAATAGATGAAACGTTCACACGGAATACCAAGAGAGGAAGGGAAAGTGTGTGAAAGCTGAAAACTCAGATGAGTCATTGAGATGTTAAGAGTGTTTTTTTTTTTTTTGTAACGTGAGAGTAGTGAAGAAATGGAATGAACTAAAGGAGCACATTGTGGAAGCAAACACTATTCAGAGCTTTAAAACTAGGTATGATAGAGAAGTAGGACAGGAGTCATTGCTCTCAGCAACCGGCGGCTAGAAAGGCGGGATCCAAGAGCCAACGCTCGATCCACCAGGCATAAATAGATGAGTACACACACACACACACACACACACACACACACACACACACACACACACACACACACACACACACACACACACACACACACACACACACACAAACACACACACAGAGTGTGTGTGTGCTCATGAATTCACACAGATTCGCACGAGGGTTCGAAATTACCAGAGACGGCAATCTCTGGAGAATCTGGACGTGAGTAAGGCTCTTGGTCCGGACGGAATCTCACCCTAAGTACTGAAAGAGTGTGCAGAAGCACTTTCCTTGCCACTCTCCATAGTGTATAGTAGGCCACTGGAGACAGGAGACCTACCAGAAATGTGGAAGACGGCTAATGCAGTCCCAATATACAAAAAAGGGTGACAGGCAAGAGGCACAGACCTGTGTCCTTAATTTGTACACCATGCAATGTGATTGAGAAGACCGTAAGAAAAAACCTAGAAGCACATCTGGAGAGAAGGGACTTTGTGACAAACCACCAACATGGGTTCAGGGATGGTAAATCTTGCCTCACATGTTTAATAGAATTCTGTGAACAAGTGACAAAGATTAAGCAAGAAAGAGAAGGGTGGGCAGATTGCATTTTCTTGGACTATTGGAAAACCTTTGACACAGTACCCCATAAGAGGTTGGTGCATAAGTTGGAGAAACTGAGTCCCACAGGGTTCTGTACTTAGACCTATCCTGTTTCAGATACGTAAAGGATTTTCCAGAGGATATAGACTCATTCCTCTCACTTCTTGCTGAGAGCA